CACTCAGGTTAGGTTTCTATTTTCAACCTTCAGAAAAAATGAAAATAACTTCTAACCTTGTGCACCTCTTCTGCAGATGACACTTTCCTACTTTTGTAGTGAAGTGCAGTCACGGGAGTTTCATGGAAAAAACAAAAGTCTTGTGTAGGATAAAGTAGGTGTGAGGTGATATCCTCAAAAATCCCTGTGATCAGGAAATTCCAGGGAATGACAATGTGTACTAGAGAAAACAAGCAGGGAGGAGGAAAGGGGAAGAATCTAAAGGTTAAAATACTGCAAACACATCCTTACTGGGAGCAGCTTCCAAATAATCTGCATGACTATGCAATGGGGAATATATTTTAAAAATTGTGAAATAAGATAATGGCCAGCAGTAGGCTAAATCGTGTTATTTTTTGCAAATCTAGTTCATCAGAATTTTCATACCTACAGAATATCCATTGAAAACTGAGGAGGTGGGGGGGAAGCCAATCATAAATAGGATAGCCAGAACAGGATTCTCTGAAGCTGAGTTCTGTTGTCTGTTTAGTTAATTTCAGAAAATTGTGGGTGTCCTCATATCTGTCTGACATATTTCCTAAACCTCAGTGCATGCATCTTCTTGATAATGATTGTTTTCCTGCACACAATTAATGTCTTAGTGTATGATATGCTTGCAATATCACTGTGGACATCTGCACCTGGATTCTAAACAGTTGCATTACCCATTGCCACTATCAAGAATAATATGGTTTTTTTCTCTCTCTCTTTGTTAAAATACCCTTTCCTCCATTTTATGGTAAACCTTGTCCTGACAATCTATACATTTGCAACCCCAGGGTTAATCCATGCAATTCACAATTAAGCCAGGAAGTTGCCATATTGGCCTAGAGATCTTTCACCCAACATTCACATCATGATCTGGTCTTCCATTCTTTGTATCAAATTGTATCTTGTTGTTAGAGGTAAACCTCTACCCTTTCAAAGACTTATTCTGAGTACCCTGAGGTCATGAAAATGCATGAAGAAAGGCATATGACGGAATACAAATAACCCCCTGAATCCTTAAATGACATTTTACTCTTCAGACTTTGTATTCCTTAAGTTGTTATTTTTTGAGCATCACTAGGCACTTTTGATGTCCTAACTTTGATAACTCTGGTGGTGTCTAGGAGGGCTGGCTTTGTTTCCTGCTAGAAGAATAATATGTTAATTCTGTCATGTTTATATAGAGGAAGGAAATAAGTTAGTAAGGACACCACAGAAAAAGTGTCACTGTGATTTATTACAGGAAAATAAAGAAATAGGAGTAACAAAAGAAAATACAAGCAGTAACAACAGAAAGATTGAAAGAATATGTGTGTGTGTGTTCGTAATACAGTTGAGATATACTGAGGAGGAAGGAACACAAGCACATCATAACTTCATGTCATTCATTTTGACACAAAAGTCAGGATGTAACAGTGCAGACAGAGCAACATTTCCAGGGCAAAAATGAGGAGTGGTCTAACTCCAAATATTGCAGCCATGTGTCAGCTACATGTTCTAGCCAGGGTCTATTGCACTGTACCCCTGCATCTTGTGTAAACTCCTGTGCCAACAGTTACAGCCATTAGGCTGATTTAAGAATTTCCATTATTTCATGTTAAAATGGAGTTCTTCTAAAAGTCCCCTTCAAAACATTTTCCATGTTAGATGTTTATGGAAGAACTGCTTTCTGATAATTTTCTATTTATAAATCATTTGGTAATACCAAGGAAAATAAAAAGGGGTGGAGGTGGGGTGGAGGGTCCAGCAAAAGAAAACAGAATTGTGCCTGTGTTTAAAAATTCTCTAGCTGAGATGCTTTTGCACCTGGATGCTTTGAAAAGTTCTATTAATTATTCAATAAATAATTATTTTATTTTTTTTTATATCTTTGAAGGCTTTTTAAATGCAGATACCCCCTTTGGCTTTGGAAGTCCCTGAGTCAAAATTCTAAAGAGAGTGTAGCTGAGAAATTCCTTCTGTTCTGTTACTGTACCTTCCCTCACTACTTGTAGTTGGCCACTTTCAGAGATGGATTTGTGCTTTGAATGGCTTTTCTAACCAAGAAAATGATGTGACTTTTTGCCTTTTTTTGTGAGAGCCCAGTCCCATCTGGACAAGTTCCATACATTCAGATCCCAGAAGTGCATTGAAGGCTGGTGATTAAAATTCTTACACATTCCCTGGCACTGAACATGATCCATCCCCAGAGTTTGTTCATTTTGGCCGGACCAAACCTGCTTTGTTCTGTTCAGGCAGACAAGGATTTCATCTTTAGTTCATCCTCACTGTACCCCAATTCCCCACTGGAATGTGAAGATAGTGACAGCAGTTGCCTCAGGGGCTGTGGGTGTATGAACTGTGTGCCCTGACAGCTCGAAGATAGGCTCCCCTGGGGACTGGGGTGAGGCCAAGGCAGCGAAAGGAGGAGGCTGTGTACCCTCCTTTAGCAGGGGGACATGTGGGGACGTGAGCAGCCAGCACAGAGCTGTGTCACTGCAGCTTTTTGGGCAGGACCTGATTTCTCTCTACACAGAGCCAGGCAAAGTCACAAACAATAGAACAAACTTATGGGCAGGTTCATACCATTTTATTCAGTGACCATTTTGTTAATTGAAGTGACAAATGGCCTGACACCACACAGTGAATGCTGAGAATGAAATGAAAGTTTAAGTAGCAGCTCATCACCTTATTTTGCCATCCTTGATATTTGGCACCTTTCCAATATACTGCATGAATCAAAGACCTTAGGCCAGATATGTAGTTGTGTATTAATATATCCTGACACATGAAAAAGAAGGCTGAATGAGGATGACACGACCCACCATTCTTTTTTGTTGCTATATTTTTTGTGATTTTTATAGTTTCCAGCAGTTTTTTACAGAAGCTAACAGCTGAAGCCCTATTTCAATATACTTAGAGAAGAGATTGACTTGGTACAAGTCGTGTGACTATGCATCTTTTTTGCCTCTTCTACCTAAAAATTTACCTTAATGAACAATGAAGAACCTGTGAATCAGCTCAAAGAGGGAAATAATAATTTAAAAAATAATTTTTTCAACTGCAGAGCCTGCCTCTTTTTTTTTTAATTCAAAAAAACCCTACAGCCAAAAATGTTTTCTTGCAATGAGTTTTGAGGGAGTGAGTTAATCTTGCTGTGATATAGTTATTGAGGCAGATATTTTCCAGCTTTGTTACTGAAATTTCCTTACAAAGAGAGCTATAATAGACAAAAATAATGTCTGTAAATCATAGCTTAAAAATACTTCTTTGAGTATGAATACGGATCTAAAATCTTTGTATAGAAAGTCTATTTTTTTTTGTCTCCAGATAGATATGAATCTCTCTTTTTGTGCTTGCAGACAGAGAATTGCAGCAGAACTTGTCAAAATATGCAGCAAGATGTATGGAATCTCAGATCAGGGCCTGGACCCTGGGGAGGGCACCTGTAAACTGAAAAGACACCTGTGAAGTTTTCAGTGGTAATTAATGAAGCTGTCTGCCCCTTGTGGCAGAATTCAGTATTCTCACCACTCAGCCTGGCAGTCACAGGATTCTTAGAAGTTAGTGTCGATACAGCAGACATAAGGGACTTTATAAATAGGTCAGTGGAACAAGCAGCAAGTTCTCTTTCCTTCTTCTATCTTCCTCACCACCCTGTAAAACCTGAGAACATCATTTATGGGAATAAAAATACGTATCCTAAAGAAGCACCAAGGGAAGAGATATCACTACTTATTCGGGGTCTCAGCCAATAAACTTCCTGCTATTTTTTTTTTTGATTTTATAAATGTAAATATTATTTTTGGAGACTATCAGTGATTGTGAAAATGTAAATATAACAAATTTTAATATTTTTTCTGTAATCCTTATGTCTTCTGGAAATCAGGCAATTGCAAAGATTACACAACACACAAGAGACACTAAATAGGGGGGGAAATGTACATTTCATACATTTTATCAGAGCATTCAGAGGGAATAATTGTTTCCCAGATTATATATGAAATATGATTTCTCTTATGGAATGATTCTGTAACTGAACAATATAAAATCTATGCAGGGCTTAAAGGATTTTTTCCCCCCACTCTTAGGCAATCCCTTTATCAATACAGGATCCCTGTTTTAAAGATTTTGTATGAACAGAGAAAGGGAGTTGTCATGGAATTTACTTCAAGGTAAATGATATCCTTTGCAAGAACTGGAAATTCTGAGGCTGTGGCCGGTTCAGATGTGATTCTAGGAGTCTACCCATGTAATTTTGAAGAAAAGGCACTTCTGTCCAATCATTTAGTTATCTAAGCTAGTTTTCATCTGTAAGATGATTCAGTCAAATAAGGGCCATGCAATGGCTCTAGAATGGAATGGGATATGTTAAAATGTGAATTGAATTCCTCTTGCTGGTTATGCATCTCTGCTGTGGGTATATTTCCTAAACAGGTTTTCAGGCTCTAATGAGAGAAGGGCTTGTTAGATGCCGTGATGGAATCAGATATTTTCTGAATTGAAATATACTTTGTTTCTATCCCCTCTGTAAAAGACAGAGATAATCTAGGGCATTTGCTTTGGCCCTTCATGTTTCTTTTGAACTTTGAATACACTTTGGTGTGCAATGATCAAATACTTCAAACACTGACAATTGTACATGAGTTTTCCATTGAAGTGATTCATAACATGTTTTGAAGACTGAACAAGTTGACTAAAACAAGTGTAAACTTTTTATTAATAAAATCTCTTAAAAATCTCTTCTTAGTGCCTGACAAGGTGATACATTCACATTAACTGAAATCATACTTATGTGCAGCTGATTCATATGACGTGAAAGTTGAAGGTCGTGAATTCATTTGGTTTATTACTATTATTTCCAATGTGTTGCTTAAAGTAACGATGGATTTTCTATTAACTCATGCCAGTATTAGTGCCATGAGTATGTTCGGGATAGGCAGCAGATGTTTCCTGCTTGGGCTTAAGTCCTAAGGATGCACAGTGATAATTGATTATTCATATCTGTAGACAAACATTTTGAAGCCTTTGGCCTACAAAGGAAATCTCTATAATATTTCCAAACATTATATCATCCCCATTGGAAGAGAATTACCATGATAAGCTGTAAGGAAACTTCTGTAAACCAGGTACCAACATTCAGATAACTTGATAATAGCCTACCAGTGAATTTAACCAGAGAATACTTGTAAGATGTGATCTGACAAGGTAACAACTAGAGCTCTGGGGAAACATGGATGTAAGCCACCAGCCATTCATTCAGCATTATAATCAGGAGGACAACAGGTCCTCAGCAGAGGAGGATCTGAACTGGCAGGAGGTGTAAGTGTTGTCTTCATTCACATTCTTGCTGATACTTCAGGCATGAGTAGAAACTCTGTGAAGCAAGTGCAGTGGTTAGTTGGGAGATATTGCTATAGAAGGTTGAGGAAACAAAGGGGATGAGAGGATGAACAACAAGAAAACTTAATCTTATATAGTGCTTTAAGTTTATCTTAAGTATAGTTTATATACACTTTAACAGTTATCCTTACTAAGAATAAGCATTTAAAGGAGACAACAGCCATAAAGCTTGGAATGGTTCAAGTACCGCAGGTTGCAGACACCGAGTCACAGATGACAGAGAAGGACATTACAGCTAGAAATAGGCGGGAGTGTGGTTTACTGGTGGATTTGGCAGTGCTGGGCTAACAGCTGGGCTCACTGATCTTTGAGGTCGTTTCCTACATGGATAATTCTGTGATCCTGCGGCGTTCGCAGCTGCTGGCGAGTCTCACCTCAATTACGGATAACACCGCCAGGGGGCGCACGCGCGGGGCGGGAGGGGCGGGGCCTGAGCACGCTGGGNCTAAGGCCCCCGCCGCTCCTGAGTGGGGCCGGGCCTGGGGAGGGCGGTGTACAGGCGGTGCTGGGGTGGGGGATAGCGGCCGCTCTGAACGTCCTCCTCCCGGGAGCTGGGGTAGGGGCACACGCCGCCGCTGTGGTGTCGCAGGCCCGTGGTGCAGGTGAAGGCACGCACCTGCCCGCCGTGTTGGAGTCACGGGAGAGGCAGCGGGCTCCAGAGTTTGTGGGGGAGATCTCCCTGAGACAGAATTCTCAAGCCAAGTGTCTGAGGCATAGCTGTTTTTGTGATACTCTGTAGCAGGTGGTGATACCGGAAACTGATGCAGTGGTTTGATTTTAATAGCCTTGATTTAAAAACCTATGTTTTGTGTGTTTTTCTCAGAAACTGATTTATTTGCATTAGTTACCAAGACAGCAAAATACCAAATGAGTAGAAGAAATGTATTATAGTAACTATAGCACTAATAGCTTAACACAGTTGTTAGGTAAACAATATGTCTTGCTTGATCAGCAGCAATCTGATTTGTAATCCTTCTGTCTTTTGCAGTATATGGTCCTGAAGTTTTAATTGTACAGAGTTCATCAACAGACACTCATCATGTCTTGGCTTGCTGATCTCGCTGGAAAAGCAGAGGATCTACTCAACAGAGTTGATCAAGGAGCTGCATCAGCTCTGAGCAAAAAAGACACATCAAGCAGTGTAGTTTATGATAATAAGAACTTGGACTCTGCCAATGAGTATTCTGAAGTGTGCCAGCGTACTGGAGAACTGAAATACCAGACTTCATCCAAAGCAGCCTACATCTCCTCAGCAGCTGAAAATATTAAACACCAAAAGGCCACAATCCTGGCAGGAACAGCAAATGTTAAAACAGCACGTAGGACATCCTCAGAGGCAGCTTCTCCAGCAGAAAATGCTTCCACACCCAGAGCTGCCTCACATTTTGTGAGAAGAAAGAAGTCAGAGCCTGATGATGAGTTACTATTTGATTTTCTCAATAGTTCAGAGAAAGAACCTAATGGAAGGATAGATTCTAAAAAGGAGAAGAGCAAGGCACCTGTTCTTCAGAATCACTCTCGGACTTCAAGCATTAGTTCTGTGTCTACTAGTACACAGAGTGCAAAAACTGCTGAAGATAATTCTGCCAGGAGCCAAGACAATGGTAGTTAAATAGTATTGAACCTAGAGATATTTAAAACCCAAGTATGTCTAGGGTAAGGCTAGGTAATGCATGAAACTGCATGTCACTTCATGAAACATTTAGTGGTGGTAATACGTCAAATGGGTGAGGTACAGCAGGATCTTTCACTTCTCATCACTGAGTTAATACTACATACCATGTTAATTTGACAAACAGTGTAATTAATACCTAAATCTTTTGTGCTCTGGATCTACCTTGTTGCTCACCCTGACCTCTCTGAGCTGTGGTCTAGCCTTGCTTCAGCCCCATATGTCCCCATGTAGAAGCACAGGTGCTGCTGCTTTTGTTTGGTCACTCAGGCCCTTAGCTGTTGTTGCCACGTGGGAGGGGGAGTGACTTTACCCACGGAGAGATGGTGCTGGCTGTTGCCCAGTGCAGTGAGGTGGGGTGAGGTGTTCCCTGTTCCACCATGCAGGAGGGGTGAGCTGACAAACTTGCTTGGCCTGCAGGAAGCTGGATGCGGACAGGCTGGTGTAGAGCTACAGGCATGAGAGAGCCAAAGAGATAAAGCCTCTGGGTTTGCCAGGAGTAGTTCATGAGTGCAGTATTAAGTCCTGAGTCCTGAATGAGCCTCCAGGCCAGACAGTCAAAAGCTGGGGCTGGGCTCAAGTCAATCACACAAAGGAGAGTGTGGCTGGGAAGTGTCAGGGACTTGTGTTCTCTTATCTGACTGTCCAGCCTGTAGTCACTCCATCCTTTTTGCTGTGCTACTTTGCTGTTACTTATTTTAGAAAATTGAAGCAAGTGGTTCTGTTAGTAATGTGGTTAGAATACTTTATTATTTGTTTAGTACTTTGAGCTTGTAAAGTATTGTAAATTCCAGCTTTTTATTTACTACATTAAGTATGCCGAAAAGCTTTAGACAGAAAAAGGGATAATTTCTAAATATGTGAATATCTTTCTGAGTCCATGACTTTTTATTAAGGTTTACTATTAATAATAAATAATGCAGATATATTAGACCTGGCTCTATGGCCTTGCTGATTGGTGCTTAAGAAACATTTGTTTTGCTCAGTGTGGCTTGTTGAATTTTTTTCTGAGGATTTTTGAGCAGCGTTTGCACTGTGGAGCTGCTAAATAAGGAAGAATGCAGTTATAAGACAGGATTTGAACATGCTGTTTTCCAAAGTTGATTGTACCGATATATCTGTGTCATTTAAATATTCAGCACAGAATCTGTTAAAGTAGCTTGTGATATATTAGCTATAGACAAAACCAATTAATATTATACTTTGTCTATTTGCCATGGCTATAATCTGATCTGTACTATAAATGGCTTATTTTTTGCTTCATCAGCTTAATTAATCTATTGAATTTTCCAGACAAAGAAATGCCCAAATTATTTTGTAAGTTGGAAACTGTGTAAATAAATCAAAGGAAAGATAATGACACTTCTTAGGATTGCATTAATCAGGAAAGGGCTTGAGAAAATGTGGAAGAAATCTTCCTGTCACTGCTGCTACTTGTGGGTGTGGTGTTGCTCAGAATTAATAGTGTGCCCCCATTCCTGGGCTTGGGATGTTAGGGGCTGTAGCAGTGGTAAGAAGAAAGGTGAAGCAGCTTAGTTAATGATCACAGGGGGAAGTAAATAATGCTTTAACAATTTCACTGCAGTCTTGCTTAGAATTAGTTGCAGTCTGGCCCTGTGGATTTTCAGCAGTTATTCACCTGAGGCATACTAAATTCAGCAGTAATATGTTTGGATTGCCTGCTTGTTTGTCCATTGCTTGCTAAGTCATTTTATCTTAACATTGCTGCAAATCTTCCAACTATATGCATGCTGGAATCAAGACTCTTTGAGTGTATATGTAGCTTTCACAGCATTAATCAAGGATACTGTGTGTGTGTATGATGGGAAAAAGCTGTTGGTTCCTCCTTCCCTCCAGAGGGCTGTTGTTCAGAATACTACTAGGAGCTCCTGTATTGCTCTCTCTTTTAAAATTAAATTTGCATTAGCAAAATCTGAATGGAAACCCAGAATGAGTTTGTTCTAAAAATTCCTGCAGTTAGTTGCTACATATATTTAGTGGTTTTTGTTACTCTTCAACCTCTGAGAACTTGTCTGAGCAGCTAAATCATAAATACAATGTTAATATTTTGAAATCCTAAAGTTGCCATTTATGTAATAAGAAATTTTATAGCTTCCATCTCTTGTCTTGCAGTATTAATAAAAACACTGCATGATGCATGTAAATAGCCCTGATTTGCGCAGTCCCTCGTGAGAAGCAGCTCCATTTTCCATTTCAGCATAAACTGTTTTGATTTATTTTTGTTGTTATTCCTTAACCATTGACACCGAACATGGAACTACTGTTTATAGAAGGGCAGTTTATGAACACATGCATTTGTTCTAAAATGCATCTCTCTGTACAGAAACTCCAGACAGTTCAGACTCTGGCCTGGGAGCACAAGGGAGTGGCCTGAAGGATTCATCACTAAGTGCAGCAACCAACCCCAGCCTTTCAAGTAATGATGATTCCAAATCTCATGAGCTGTCCAATCTTCGCCTGGAGAACCAGCTGCTGCGAAATGAAGTTCAATCTTTAAATCAAGAAGTGGCCTCATTAATACAGAGGTCCAAAGAAACACAAGAAGGTACTTCAGCTATATCTTTAGTAAAATGCTAGTGAACTAGGAGGTGATGCTCTGTGTATTTATAATAAAAACTCTCCAAGTACATTTGCATGTATGACTTCCCATGTAATGAGATGGGAGAAATTAAAAGGCTTGTTCAGCTACAAAGATAAAACAGATGTTGATTAAAATGATGTGCTCAAGCTAGTTACAAAACTTACATCTTAATAAAACACTGGCAACAAATACCATGTTTAAAATACTTTTCTTGCATTTTAATGGCTTTTGCAAAATACCTATTTTTAAATGAGCAAATTCCTTTGAATACTTCAAACTGACTACTTTCTGGCTGTAGTAGAGACTATAGTCTCTGATGCCTAGAAACTGATTGTAAAAATATAAAATTAGTATTTTAAATATGACATCACTGATGTTTTCAATGCCAGATGAAATTACAAATGTAAAAAATGTGAGTACAAGTTAAACAATAGACCAGAGAGCAAACTCCTGCTGTTGGGCGTAAAGTTGAGGTACAACATTTTTTTCACATTAATTGCATAAGCCAGATAATTTTAATATCCAGTGAATTTTAATGTCTGATGTAAGATTAAAAACAGAAGCTTCTAAGTATTCAGGCATTATTCACATTTGGTGTATTTTTCCATTGTGTTTTATGTGACAATAAGCTCAAACTAGAATTAAACTAGTTGCTTTATGCAGACATTTCTGTTGGCACAGGGATATTTGACAGTAGGCCATTGCAGGGGATGGGGCAGATGAAATCTGTCATCTGCAGTGTGACTCAGAAGGAAATGTCTATTTTGAGATCACCTCTAAAATTTTCTGGGTTGTGCTTTGACAGCCAGTTTGGCATTTGTTACTTCCTGGTAGCTCATAAATTTTCAATTTTACTTCAACTTGGTTATATTTAAGTATTTTCTTTAAGAAATAAGGTGCCTCCTGACTCCTTACAAGACCTTGCAATGTCTACTTTCATAAACTTCAAAGAAATTTCTTATTTTGTAGAACTGAACAAATCTCGGGAGAAGGTGGAGAAGTGGAATGTTGACCATTCAAAGAGTGACAGGATGGTGAGAGAACTTCAGGCTCGAGT